GGAGGAGGACAGACATTTGTTTAGAACTCTTAAAGATGTCGAAGAAGCTCCTTTAAGCAATTACTGTGATGTTCCTCCACCTCCAAAGAAATGTCGGAAGGAGTCCGAACCACGAAAGAAGCACGTATTCTCGGAAAAGTAGTTGCAGGAGGTGAGCTGGCTTCAAACAAATGATGAACGCACAGAGATGTGGTGCGGAATGTGCCGTGAAAATTTAATAAATGACAAATTAAAAAGGCATGAACATTTTTTTGTATCGAAAAATATCGAACCGTGACACCAAAGTATCGAACCGAACCGAACCGTGAATTTTGAGTATCGTTGCACCCCTAATATATATATATATATATATGTGTGTGTGTGTGTGTGTGTGTGTGTATTATATTATTCTTCATTCTATATAAAATGGATTACACTAATCATCTTGTTTCCTGTTTTAAATTCAGAGGGTCTTCAAAACTGTCAGTTTAAACTCAAATCTAACCTGAAGGAGAGGTTCCAGTGTGTGTTTGAGGGGGTTGCTAAAGCAGGAAACCCAACGCTTCTGAATCAGATCCACACAGAGCTCTACATCACAGAGGGAGAGACTGCAGAGATCAATGATGAACATGAGGCCAGAATGATTGAAACTGTGTTCAAGAAACCTGCCAGACCAGAAACAACAATCAGGCAAGAAGACATCTTTAAAGCATCACCTGGAAGACATGAACCAATCAGAACAGTGCTGACAAAGGGAGTGACTGGTATTGGGAAAACAATCTTAATACAAAAGTTCACTCTGGACTGGGCTGAAGACAAAGTCAACCAGGACATCCAGTTCATATTTCCATTCACTTTCAGAGAGCTGAATGTGCTGAAGGAGGAAAAGTTCAGCTTGGTGGAACTTGTTCATCACTTCTTTACTGAAACCAAAAAAGCAGGAATTTGCAGCTTTGAAGACTTCCAAGTTGTGTTCATCTTTGATGGTCTAGATGAGTCTCGAATTCCTCTGGACTTCCACAAAACTACAATCCTAACTGACCCTAGAAAGTCCACCTCAGTGAATGTGCTGCTGACAAACCTCATCAGGGGGTACCTGCTTCCCTCTGCTCGCATCTGGATAACCACACGACCTGCAGCAGCCAATCAGATCCCTCCACAATGTGTTAATATGGTGACAGAGATTAGAGGGTACACTGATCCACAGATGGAGGAGTACTTTAGGAAGAGATCCAGAGATGAGGAGCAGGCCAGCAGGATCATCTCCCACATCAAGACATCACGAAGCCTCCACATCATGTGCCACATCCCAGTCTTCTGCTGGATCACTGCTACAGTTCTGGAGGATGTGCTGCAAACCAGAGAGAAAGGAACACTGCCCAAGACCCTGACTGAGATGTACATCCACTTCCTGGTGGTTCAGGCCAAAATAAGGAAGGTCAAGTATGATGGAGGAGCTGAGACAGATCCACACTGGACTCCAGAGAGCAGGAGGACGGTTGAGTCTTTGGGAAAACTGGCTTTTGATCAGCTGCAGAAAGGAAACCTGATCTTCTATGAATCAGACCTGACAGAGTGTGGCATCGATATCAGAGCAGCCTCAGTGTACTCAGGAGTGTTCACACAGATCTTTAAAGAAGAGAGAGGACTGTACCAGGACAAGGTGTTCTGCTTCATCCATCTGAGTGTTCAGGAGTTTCTGGCTGCTCTTCATGTCCACATGACCTTCATCAACTCTGCAGTCAATCTGCTGGAAGAACAACAGACATCGTCCTGGTGGTCAAAATTTTTTAATGCACCAAAACTACAGTATGTCCACCAGAGTGCTGTGGACAAGGCTTTACAGAGTCCAAATGGACACCTGGACTTGTTCCTGCGCTTCCTCCTGGGTCTTTCAATGCAGCCCAATCAGATTCTCCTACGAAATTTTTTGCCAGACACACTAAGTAGCTCACAGACTATTCAGGAAACAGTCCAGTACATTAAGAAGAAACTCAGTATGAATCTGTCTGCAGAGAAAAGCATCAATCTGTTCCACTGTCTGAATGAACTGAATGATCGTTCTCTAGTAGAGGAGATCCAACAGTCACTGACTTCAGGAAGTTTCTCCACAGATGAGCTGTCTCCTGCTCAGTGGTCAGCTCTGGTCTTCATCTTACTCTCATCAGAAAAAGATCTGGATGTATTTGACCTGAAGAAATACTCAGCTTCAGAGGAGGCTCTTCGGAGGCTACTGCCAGTGGTCAAAGCCTCCAACAAAGCTGTGTAAGTACATTTGTACTGATCCCTCTACTTTTATCATGCAGTTGAGTCTGTAATTTATTTAATCAGACTTTCCATCTTTGTAAGAATTTGTGTCCCAAAGCATGGCAATTACTCTAAAACAACTGTAACCTTTTTAATGTCTCCTAAACTCAATGTTCTTGTGATGCAACATCCAAAAACTATGGCAGTATCATTATTAGTGCTGCTGCTGTGTTACTGGTCTTTTAAAAAAAACCAAACAATCAAACTTTACTTTCCATGTGTTCATGCACCAGTTTTGCATTTAATCATTAGTTTTTACTACACTGTGCCTTGGGCTTCAGTGTTTGTTTACTATTCTTGACCTGAGCTCTCCCCTCACCCCAAACTGTTAACAGCAGATGGTTGTACCTCCTGAGCCTCATTCTCCTGGAGTTTTTCCTTCACACTGTTGCCAAGTGGGAGTTGTCAAATTGTTGGTGCAGACTTTGGTGCATATCAAACAAGCAGTTCTAGCTCCTCCCGTCTTAAGCATACTTTCCCTGGTTGTCTCTTCTATGGCTGCCATAAAATTTCCTCCAGATTATAATCCGCCCACAAAAATCAAAAATACAAAAACAACTCAGACTTCATGCCATTTATTGCCAACATGGTGTCCTTTTTGCCAGCCTTTGATGATAAACTGCACCACTATCCATAATAAGCTTTTCCATTGCTTTTAATGATTTTAGACTTTACACATGTACATTGTCTTTCTTTTTATTGTGGGCACACAGATAACAGCTCTTCTTTTGTTACAACTGAATTGAAAACACAACTCAGATCAGGGAAAATCTCCTAATTTGGATGATTTTCCAGGTGGTATCTGGGATCAAAAGTTGAAATCAGCTTGGATGGCCTGTACAATGAGTACAGTGGCTCACTCCTTGGGCAAGAAGACCATTCAGTCTAAATGCTTTTTTCCCCTTTCGTGGCTGCTGATGAGGTTGTTTTTGGATTGGCTCATAGCCATTCTCATCGTCTTCAAATTAACTGACAAACTGCTGACTGCTGCTATAGTTTACTGAGTATGTGACTCATGTACTAAAGGTGCTTGAGTTTGAGTCTGCCCAAGACATTTCCTTTGTGTCCATCTCCTCACTTCTCCCTCCTTTTCTGACTTCCCTACTTTACACAGTAAAGTCAAAGTGCCTAGTGTTCTGAGAAATCTTCACCTCCTGCATCTCCCAAATCTTCTCTGTCATATGAAATCAACAATATTCTCTGAGTATAGAATCTTTTCACGATCTTGAATGATAAGGATCCACATGGGCACAGTTATTTCTTTCTTTTCTATTTAAAGAGCAATGACATTGTCTAGCCAGATGCTCTTAGTACAACCGAGGTCTCGATTGAAGCATAGAGGAGATCAGGCCTTTGCAGTTGCAGTGCCTAGACTCTGGACTAACTTGACAGATGATATTCGTACTTCAGAGTCTAGTCAGTCTTTAGAAGCATGCCTTAAAACTCATTTTTTTTATGTTGGTTTTTAATTCGAGTTCAGTTTGAGTACCATCAGGCCTTTTTTTCTGTTTGCTATTTTTGTCTTGTTTTTATGTTGTATACATTGTCATTGCCTCATCTCGTTTATCTGTATTTGTTTTTCTATTGTTTTCTCATGTTCTGAACTAATTGCGAAGCACTTTGGTCAACTCTGTTGCTTTTAAAAGTGCTATAGAAATCGATTTGATTTGATTTGAAGGGTTCCACCTGTGATTTGTAGCTGGAATAGAGTGTGGAAAAACTTTAGTTTAGAGGAAAAACTTGAATGAGGTACATGTTTCTTGATATCAGAGTAACTCATCCACAAGGTGTAGAAAGAGCAGCAGTAGGGTAGGACAATATGTCCAAAAATATTTATATATTTGAAAATTTGCCGTTTTTACAAACCAATTTTGGTTCATCTGTTTTATTCAACGATCTGCTTTCGCCCTTCTCATTCTCCGTCACCGCCATACTTTTTCTGACATGTGCGTATGAAAACAAATGCACTGCACATGCACATTTTACTTATATTCTATCGCAATATTTCATTTTCTTATCATTGCCTAACATTATACCAGTATTATCGTGAACGGTATGATATTGCCCAGCCCTAAGCAGCAGAAGAGTACAAATCATGTCTTACCAAAAAGCCACAACAACTAGAATTTACCTACCTTTGGTATTTCCTGACAGCATAATATTTACTGAAAAGATGTCTTCTCTCATCTTTGTTGCTATGAATGTTCCTGTTTCGGCTGTCCACTTGGCTCTAAATTGTACAAATAGATCTGAGAAGATTACGTTTCTAATCACAAATCAGAAATTATGTTTTTATTAGATTTGCAGTTTGTATTCATGTCTTCTGAATCAGAAGGTGGGGGAAGTGGACCTTACAAGGACTAAGTGTTGATCTAGAAGGGCAATTGTGTTTTAATGAAGTTATTTTGTTAACCATTAATTGTGTTGCATGTTGGCATTTTTACATTTTTTCACAAATTTTGTTTTATTTATTGATTTCATTAGTTTGTTTGTTTGTTTTTTCAGACTGAGTCACTGTAACCTCTCAGAGAGAAGCTGTGGTGCGCTGTCCTCATTTCTCAACTCCCAGTCCTGTAGTCTGAGAGAGCTGGACCTGAGTAACAATGATCTACATGATTTAGGAGTGACACTTCTGTCTGCTGCTCTACTGAGTCCATACTGTACACTGGAAACTCTCAGGTCAGCAGTTACTGTATTTAAATTACTTTTCCACTGAAAAAGTAGAGTAACTAATTACTGTTCATTTTTAGGTATTTTAAATACAGTTACTTACAATGTACTTGCGTTACATTGTAAAATAACTAAACTCGCTGAAAATCATTATTTAATTTCAATAATTTATCTTCTAAAGGTAAAAATAAACTCTGCCGCTTTAACATCGCTGTAGTGCAGCTGCACGTCATTTCGCGCCAGTTTGCCGCATAGTCGTATTCTACAGCGGAAGATGTCGGACTCGGCTGAAGTGAGGGCCTGTTTTATGAAATGGAAATATTCCCGTCACTTTACTTTTCTACATACAGTACATACAGCATGCAGGAAATATGGTGCTCATTGGTTTGAGGAAGTTTCAGAGGAATTCTGTTTGTTAACCAAAGTTCAGAATTAACTTCACTTTGTTGAATCACATGACATGATTACATACATTATGTATGAATATGTTACTCATTGCTTTAAAAATGTAAAAATTTTAATGTTTACTGCGTGAAATATGTCATGTATAACATTTCTTAAGTTAAGCTTTTTTGTTATTCAGATATGTTGCAGAAAAATATATTTGTTATTCTGGAATTGTGTTTCTTAGCTAAAGAAAGTTACATTCCTTACTAAAAAATGTTAAAGAATTTTTTTTTTATAGAATGTAATAAAGATGATTCAGGAAGCAAAAAGGCTAAACTATTTCATGTTGACTCGTATTTTTTTAAAAATTATTTATTATTTAAAGAGTTTAATTTCTATTGTTTGTCCACTCAAGGTTTATGGGGATTTTAATAAGTATTTAGTTAAATTACTTATTGAGTAATTAAGTTACTTTTCAGGCACAGTAATTAGATAAGTATTTTAAATACAATATTGATTAAGTAATTAGTAATAGTAATTAATTACTTTTTTAAAGTAACTTACCCAACACTGCACGTCAGGAGTGAAATATTTCACTGCTGATCATTTACAGTCTGAATGATTTGCATCTATAAACAACTATGCTTTATAGCCTTGTCAAGTGGCCTTTTATTTAGGACTTTTATTTTGGGTAGCAGAATAAGTGAGATATCATTTTGGTTTCTGAGATATAGTGATGTTGTTTTCTTAACTAATTTATTTAATTTAAAATTGTGTGTTAGAGTTATTTATATTTCATTTAAGGTATTTTCTTAAGAAGTCTGACACATAACAAAGATGTTTCGGTGATGCAAAAACACCTTAGTAGGATTAACTGCTGAAAGGTATAATTCTACATGTGGAGACACTGGTATTAATTTCAGTAACATTAGTATCATTTTTGTGATGTCTGAACTGTTATTTTATGTATGGCAAGTCACTAAATTTCAAAACCCAGGCCTCGCGCTCAGTCCTGCATTACCCATGTGATCTTGTGTGAATACCAGCTGGACTGGTCGGGTGCAACAATAGCTGCAGTCATTTAAATAATCTCTGACAGTGGAAAATATTGTATCTTTTGCTTGCTGTGGGCGTGATAGTTGCTACTAGGAGAGATTTTTTTCAGGAGCGGAGATGTTACCAAAACAAGTTTAAAAAATTAAAGTGTTACTGTTTTACATTGTCTGAATGTGCTATTAAAATGTACAAATGGATCTGAGAAGATTGCATTTCCAGTCACAAGTCAGAGATTATGTCTTTAGTAGTTTTACAGGATTTTTACGTATTTTCAAATTTTTGTTTTATTTGACTGATTTCATTTGTTTGTGTGTTTCTTTCAGACTGACTCACTGTAACCTCTCAGAGAGAAGCTGCGGTGCCCTGTCTTCAGTTCTCAACTCCCAGTCCTGTAGTCTGAGAGAGCTGGACCTGAGTAACAATGATCTACAGGATTTAGGAGTCAAGCTTCTGTCTGCTGCACTACAGAGTCCACACTGTACACTGGAAACTCTCAGGTCAGGAGTGAAATATTTCACCGCTGATCATTTCAGTTCTGAATGGTATTATTTGATAAACAACTAAGCGTTTTAAAATTGTCAAGTGACCTTTAATTTAACTTTGGATAGATTATTAAATAAATTAAATAAATACAATTTTATTTATATAGCACCTTTCTAGGCAGAATCACAAAGCAATTGTTTTTAAAAATAACTGCTAAGCCCACAGTTCTTAAGGTTTGGGGGAGAGAGTTCCACAGTCTAGGGGCCTCAGTGGCAAAAACTCTGTCCCCCTTAGTTCTCATCTTAGTATGTTTTAAAGCAAGTAAGCCCTGATCAGACAACCTCAGGGATCTCCTAGGGCAGTGGT